GAAACGTTAACTTTGGCTTCAGTATTCGAAACAAGAACCTTCCATGTGTAGTCTTCAAACAGCTGGACAATAACTATTGGACGCCCCAAGTCACTCATCTGCATACAGTGCTGATCGCAAGTAAGTACCCATAAATTGTCGAGCGAGTAAGAGCGAGTACGTGCGTGTTGAGAGCGCCCGAACTCGCCCTATCTCGCTCGCACTCGACTCGTACTCGCACGAAGATCGCACGAAGAGCGCTCGAAGAGCGCACGAAGAGCGCTCGAGGAGCGCTCGAAGAGCGCACGAAGGCCGCACGAAGGCCGCACGAAAGAATACTTAATTTTCAGCAGCACCTCGCAAGTCACCCAAGACCCCTCGATATTGTTCACTGACCCGTGAAAGGAACGTCCAGAGCCCGATTTGGAACGTGTACAACTTGGGCAGACGGGGCGCTTGAACCATTGAACTCGCGCTGACAATGGAGCTGTTAAAGGTAACTCATGTCTATTCAAAGCACATGCTTTGTATACTTCGCCGAGGGTTCAGCGAAGGCAGTTTCTTTCTTAAAACGTCGCCACCAATTGTTCCTGGAACATGAAATGCAATGTTATATATAGGTTGTCAACCGGCCCTAAAATAAAAAAACCCATGTGTGCTTGACCTTTGTATTTAGAACTAGCTAGTCTGTAATGAAGGGAAGCCGTAAGTTGTGAATATTTAGTGGGCTGTTAAAAACGCAAGGTATTCAGTCCAAATTCGTCAGTTGTCAAAATTATGTATGTTTGATAAAGAAAGACTTTGGAATAAACTTCAATCGAACCTCAACATTGATTGGCCTAAGAAATAAGCAGAAGTACAATGAAAGTTCCACCTCGAGAATGGTTGATATATACATGTAATGGGTATGGGTCTGCTTACAAATTATTGACGCCAGAACATTTTTGCTTATACTTTTCCGCGATGCAACGCAATATGGTTACGTCATGGCTGTGACGTCAGAAACATGTTCCAGGTTATCATTATTTTATTATTATTATTATTATTACTTTTATTATTTCTGATATTTGACCAGGGTCGCTTATTCAGTGATCGAAGCCCTGACGTTCTTAAAATAAATGTTTGAAACATAAATTAATGGAAAATATAAAACTATCAAAATAAACCTAAATAAGAAACTCAGTTTAAAGAGAATTACACAAAACTGAGAAGACGATAACATTATATAATATTAAAATACAATAAAAATTAAAGTTAATGTACAAAGTAAAGCACTAAATCTAACAAAAAATAAAAGAGCACATAAGACAAATAAAATATATACTGAGTACATATAAAATAGTTAAACATTATAAGACTGAGTGGAAAGGTAAACGGCAGTGGTAAAACACTCCAGAAAAAAAATGACACGTAAAAACATTAAAATACGGCCATTCATAACTTTTAATGTTTTAAAATTTCGATTTTTTTCCCCTCTAAATTGTGAGGTGGGTGGGTCAAGATAAATAATGGTAATTCGAAAAGTCACTTTTCATAAAAAAAAACTAGAAAATAAAGCTTGATCTTTCGACTTGCCTAAACTACGCGCCAGCCTTCCGATGCGCGTTTCTTGTCAACTTCTCTCCTATTATTATTACTAGAATGTCCGTACAGTACAGTACCCGGCACGGACATGTACATGTACAAATGTACACATGATGTCCATGTACACACACCCACATCCACATGTATCGTATAATATGTGTGCCAGCCAACTGTGTGAAACGCCACGTGGCTGTGGGATGAGCAGGTGATTTTTTTCAGGCGTTCGTAGCGATTTAATAGGACCTGGCAAAGTTAGCAGGGTACCAGTGTGCTCGTTCTGCTAAATCGCGGGCGTCGATTACCAGTCACTACACCCACTTGGAAACACGACTATTGCACTGCACGCAATGTTATGTACATGTACATTGTACATGTACATGTACGTGTAATGCACGCGGCAACTGCATTCCCTCGACTTTCAACATGGCAGCCCCAATGGATGCCGTCTTGTCAACATGTGAAATGACGCCAGATCTTCATAGCTTTTGGTTGGGGCATGCAAAATGTAGTGATGAGAAACCCGCGTTCGCCGTATGAACGCTTCGTATGTGCGTTTAGTTTGCTGTGCAAAAGCCCCAAAGAAAGAGCTTTCGCCGCCGACGAAGTTAATCATTGAGCTATCAATCAGCTTGTCGGTGAAAAATGTGGAAGTCAAATAAACTATTAACTATCTATGGACCCAAAAATGTTCACAATGGGTCAGGTTGTGTTTGCATACCATGTCCACTTTTTAAATAAAAGTAAAACCGGTACTAAGGTTGACTTACAATGTTTGCAAAAAGTGAACTTTCCCATTCAATTACAAAAGCTCGATCGCCTCGTGTTCATGGACACGGCCTTCGGACTCGTTTGAATAGCAAAGCGCAGTAACGTTGCTGCGGTCGTGCCCAGGGCGCTATGATGGAAATTTCCAATAGCTGAGATCGAGTGCTGCTAAATCATTGTCATGTTATGCGTGTTGCTTCACGTGATGCATATCTTCAATGGTTCTCTTCACAATGTCATGATTTTATGAGCGGATAATAGTTGAAACTGCCTTCGATTTCGTACCGCGCAAACGAGAATCAGTGACACCACAGCGTTGTTATGATTCCAACGAGTCGGATTTTGTTATGTGTCGGCGAGGCCACTTTAAATTGAATCAGTTTTCATTTTACTGGACAGAACCAAACCTTTTTTTTCTTCGAAACTCCACAAACTGTGTTGTGGGGCTGTGAGCTCGAATTCCCGCATGGGTTGCCAGACTGCATGCATGATGCAGTGGCCACGGCGATGACCGTTGCATGGTCGACAGCGTGTGTGGACTTGTAACAGATCTCTTCCCACGAGTATCGGATTACAACATGGCCTGACATGTTGTTGTACACAGTTGAATGGAAGATCTTGGTTTCTTGCCTTCCACGAGATGAAAGAAGTATAGAATCCTCTATATTTCTAAAACATTAAGCATTCTGTACTGTCAATCGACCTCCCGGGGTGCATTTCTTGATGTTCAAGGCAAGTCACATGCGTTTTGTAAATAACGAACCCGTAAAGAAACTGGTCAACTCGTACCCGATCAACACATACCGCCTAATTTACACCACGAGGATACCTCCCTGAAATTAATCATGTGTACATAAAGTCAACTTGTAGAATACAGGTCCACTCTTACGCGAGCCAACTCGTACGCGGGACGACTCGTACGCTTACCGACTCGTATGCCAACCAACTCGTACGCGAGCTAACTCGTACGTAATCGAACTCGGGCGCCTTAGTACATTGTACACTTAACTTATAGACTGGCGTAGTAAATGTACTTTGTTGCCTTGGGGTTACATAAATAGACCCAGGAAAAATTTTGGGTCGGTCGGACGGCATACATGTACATGTACTTGTAGTTGTTTTCTGAAGGGGAATATCTTGTGTTAGTAAAGTGATCCCAATAACAGTCGAACCTCAGTTTGTTAATAAAGAAGTCCTGGGGACTTTGCAGATTACCTTGTTACATAACAGGAACCTTTATTATCAGGATTGAAAACCTGAGGTTTAACAAGGTCGTTAGGACTTTACGAAATACATATGTACCTGTTACATGTACCGTAATTTTCGGAATATAAGCCGCGCGGCGTATAAGCCGCGGCACGCAAAAATCTGCAAATTAAGATTTGAAGTCGGCGTATAAGCCGCACCGGCGTTTAAGCCGCACCGACCGCTGCGGTTTCAATTTTGTAAGGCCTCCAAATTCTAGTCAAAATGCTCTGAACCAGTTCCATTTACACTACAGAAGCTATTAAAAGGGCCACAAAAGTTATATCAAATCATTTACAATCGATACTTTTACAAACAAATATGGGAATTGATGAGAAATAAACACCGGGAACTGCTGTCGGCTGCCCCGTCATAACCCGGCAGCCTGCGCCACGCACGCCGGTGAATGACAATATTTTCCCACAGCACGTGAGAGAGTATGAAACCCACCGTGTGTTGTCTGACTGGAGCGCTACAAATCTTGCTTTGTGGCAACAGATGCTGATTTGTTTTGTCCTAAGAATAAACAGGTCCGTTTTTACCTCAAAACTTATCAAATTGTTGCGATTACTAACGAGCAGTTGCGATAAAAATTCAAGTTTCGATCGTAACTTTCTTCGGAAATAGTCAAAACGAAGCGGACATTTTGATAGACGAATCCATTAATTTTGTAAGGGGTGATTTAGTCCCTCTTTTGAGTTTTTCATCGTTTCTTGAATATATTTCAAGAAAACAAAGTATATTGTGACGTTGAAAAACTAATAAATACATTTTTCGAACGCCATAAACATTTTAGTCGTCTTTTTTTTTTTTTTTTAACAGCGGAAATATTGGTAATTATTGTTCCCAAGAAAGAACACCCCTTTATTACCACAAATGGTGTGGTCCGCTGGGGGAAAGCATGCTGCGTATCGCTGCTGCACTGTACCGGACCAGTATCACGTACGGCTGGTCGCAAGTGTCGAAGACAGCTTTCATCACCGTACTTTTTACCGCTCGGTACCTTTTCGTGAGATGTGGGTTCGGTTTGTTAATGACTTTCTTAATTTATAATTCATTTCAGCAACACATCTCTTCTTGTACCAGTACATTAAATACACATGTGAATCTTATTTTTATTCTTCAAGGCTCGGCGTATAAGCCGCCCTGTGTATAAGCCGCAGTAAACATTTTCATGGGCAAATTCAACGTACAAGCCGCGGCTTATATTCCGAAAATTACGGTATAATGTAATGGTCTAGTATTATCCATAATAGAAAACAAAGATTTGGGACCTAAAAGTTTCCTTGTTAAACCATGGAGTGTTACAGGGCTATAAAAGGATCCTACCATTTGCATGATTAAAGCAGGATGTTGAAATAACCAAGATCTTATTATCGGTGTTCAACTGCGCTCAACTCATGTACAAAAGACGAGAATACGAGAGATTTAAGTGGAAATTCTTTAATTTATTTCTGCATTCTCCTGAAAATTGTGTTACCAAAATGTCAATAAGGTAAAGATGTACAGTTATATCCTCTTAACAATTTAAATTTGAGGTTCAGTTGACAAACTTGTTAAGAAAAAAAAAATTCTCAATAAACAAACTTGGTATTAGCCAGCTTAAATCAACAGTATTGAAAACAAAGAAAAACAAAGACTTGGGACTTAAACTTTTCCTTGACTTAAGCAGGATGTTGTATTAACAGTGCTGTTTTTATCAGTGTTCGACTGAAGCAACTCTAAACTACAATGATCTTCATTCTTATATACATGATGATGAAACTTAAATTGGAAATATCATGTCAATACTGTGACATGTACATTGTATCTGGCAAAATATCCAGAACTGTTGGAATAATAACAGAAACATACAAAAGCTCATAAGACAGATAAAAAAATATTCTGAGTTCATATAAAATACTTAAAGAGTAAGACTAATTAGTAAATTCATTAGGTAGTAGTAAAAAAAGCCTGCAAAACAATAGCATATACAAACAATGAAATACTAAAATATGACATTTCACTAAATGTAAGCAACAATGTTGCTTAAATCTCGAGCAAATACAAATCTTACTAATTACTACATGTACTACTTAAATCTCTAGCAAATACAAATTTAACTAATCACTACATACTTTTGTTGCTTCTATTTAGTCTTCTACATTCTTCGTCGATTGCCCGTGTGCAGATAGTTTTCCAGAAGTTTGGGAACTTGCCGGGCACAACTTCAGGATGTTTCAAGACCTCTTGTCTCACCATCGTCAGTCGGCTTGGGTCTAATGGACGTTTGCCCTTGACCCCCCTACAATTTCCCCCCTTCATCTCCTCCTCCGTAAACAGTTTCCGTACAAGAGACAGAGCATAATTTGGGATTGAGGTAGAATTGTCTCTTGCATTTGAAACTGTTGACGGTGAAAGAGATGCTGAGGGGAGTGCAGAGGGGTTTACAGGCAGGATTGGGGGCCTGGGGCTCAATAGCTGGGTTGGGGGCCTCACCGGCTGGGTTGGGGGCCTCACAGTCTGGGTGGGGGGGCTCACCGGCAGGGTTGGGGGCCTCAATGGCTGGGTTGGGGGCCTCAATGGCTGGGTTGGGGGCCTCAATGGCTGGGTTGGGGGCCTCCACGGCTGGGAAGGGGTGGTCAGTGTAGGCAGGACAGGGGGTCTGATGTTGGATGGCTGGGTAGCAGGGATCGGCGGCTGGGCAGGGGAGCTCAATGGCTGGGTAGGGCTAGTCACTGTTGGGGCAGGGGGGCTTGCTTGACGTGCAGTTTGGTTATATGGCAAAGTAGGGGGAAAAGTTTGCAGGGACCTCCAGTCCTGCAACCACTCCCAGATGTCGTTGAGCTGACTAGCCATCTTTGTCATCTTCTCTTCATGCCTCTGTCCCCTGTGCATGGCCAGTGGTGTGCTTGACGGCAGTGCTGGCGACCAAGGAATGGGTTCCTGTTCACACACAAAGTTAAAAAATTTTATTGAGTACATTTAATATGATACATGCCTGTTCCTATACATGCATGTCATATACATGTAATATACAACATGTATTATATGGTATAAAGCTAAAGAATTATAGATTTTTTGCCAGACAGAAATAAATCAACGTTTTCGGACTTAACATGTTTCGTTTTTCTTGTATACAGACAGGATTCGTTCGTTTATAAATTTCAAAAATTAGTCATTAATTTCTTCGATGTTTGATTTGTGGTACGGCCAGCAACACTTATTGTTTTACATAGCTCCATATGTCTGCAGGTTGTTGAGCTTAAACAAGTTAACGGTCAACTGCCAATACCAAGTAATTATACATGTAGATGTATACCATCTTTAAAAAGAAAAAAAATCCTAAACTTGTTAACTGTCCACAGTAGAAAATACAAATGTCTTTTTTTTCGAGTTTCTTATCGATCTGACATTAAAACATGTTTTGAAAACCTACTTTTAAAGAGTACCTGTACATCCCTATAACCTGAATATTGTGTTCGAATTCAGTACAGGATGTATGTCGGTTTCCCAAAGGGGCCATCAAAAAACAAGCATGTTCAATGTTCAAAAAGACTGCGACAATGAACCATCCACAGAAAGATGTTTCATTCGAAATATGAAGAAGGAACAAGGAAGAAAGCGTTGTTAATGGTACTCACTGGATCCGGCATTGGGCGGCTGAATGTACCTCCCACAGAATCAAAAGCCAAATCTGGAATCTGAATCAAAAAGTTAAAATGTTAAATAGCAACATTGTCTTTTTAATCCAGAAACACAAAGCTACATCAGCCAAAAGAAAAAAAAGTATCAATGTCATAAAAAAAATGCCACCCGTTCGTGTTACAACTGCTCTACCAATGTCCTTAAAAGTAGAGAAAAAATAGTGTTTCACGAATAGTGTCTCCTAAGTGGTGATACCGGAAAATAATCATCCAAACAACATTATTTTATTTCTACTGGTAATAAGAAACCATTTTGTAGATGTTACATCATGCAGTGACTGTTCAACAACAACAAAATGGAGTAAATGTACGCATTTTTGCAGATCCATGAACTTCATGAAGTGTCAAAAGTTTACACAAAACTGATAAAAGGCTTTGACTGTGAATGCATCTAATATCTTTCCTTTTTTGCATTAACCATGTATATTATAATTTAGACATAACATAATCCCGTCTCATATTGTACACTCGGAGAAAATGCCTACTGAATGAATCTTAAAATACTTACATCGTCCAGGATGCGGCTACTGTCAGTTGATAGGAAGCTAACGTCCGGGAAAAAGGGTATCTACAGCCGGAAGAAAGGGGGGGGGGGAAATAAGTAAAATGAGTGAACAAATAAACCCTGATAATAAGAATGCTGTTAATGCAACATCCTGGTTATAAGGAGGTAATGCTAGGTCCAAAATCTGTTTGACTTTTCCGCAACTTTGCGCTTAAATGTAATGGGGAAAAAAAAAGAAACGATTTTGGACCAACTGTTTTCTTTGTTAATGTTATCACCAGGATAGTGTCTATACAGTGCTCTTCATATCAAGGTTCGACTGTACTTAAATCGTAATAAACTGTTGCATATGAAATCGTGACTCTTTTATTTACTTTTTAATTTCTTTTCATCTCATCTGTATATCTCATTCTTTGAAATGTTCTTTGTTGTGTGGTGTCCTGCCAGGTTCAATTGCTTTATTCTCCCCACAGAGTCGGCAAATTCTTTGAATCAACTGGACACTTTCTGCCATCTTTATTTACATCATGAAGATTTTTCTATGAACTCCATAATAAAGGAACCACAACCCAAGCATTCACCACTTCATGCGACAAGTCACTTTGAAGAGTTGGAGTATAGAGTCTGGTGATTTATCCTTCCGGATGTTTGGACAACTGCACGATACAGAACAGATACAAATGGGTATAAAATACAATAAAACAAAGTAATGTTACATTATTGACACGATAAACCAATGGACAGACCGATGAAAATTAAACTAAGACAATGTTGCCCTAAATCTTACGATAAAACCATAAAACAGCTTTACGAGCTTGAAGCTTTCATAACTGTACGCAGTTGTTTATAAATGATCATAATTAAGAAATAATACTCTGTTAATTTTGTCTGTAAATGGGCTGAGTTGACTCGAAATCCGTTGTATTCCATATTATTTTGTTTTCAAATACAAGTTGAAATGATAAAAAAACAACATATAATCAATAAACTTCAGACAGAAAAAATCATTAATGTCATTCATTGCAAAATGTAAAAGTCACTAAGTCAGTAACCACCAAAACTCACACTTTAGTTCTTAAAGGGAATATACATCATTTGCTTTTGCTGTAATTTTCAGAAATGGATGGAATTGGGGGGTTGGAAATATATAGCAAATATAGTTACACTGACTTTTTTGAGGTTTTGGGTTCGAAAATGCTATAAAAACCAAGAAAAACAATCATTTTCCTGTAGTCTGGTTCCCTGACTCCATAAAAGAAGAAACAGAGCAGTTTACATACATTGGGGAATTGTAAGGTCAGGGAACCAGTCTTGCTGGCTTGTACCCGTTCATAGGTGTGTAATCAATTGCAAACAAGTGCGATGGTCAATTAAGGCCAGTATTTGAAAAAAAGCCAGTTTTTTCCAACGCTGGTCGGCTTTTCAAATTTCTTATTAGTACTGGCTTCTGAATTCAAATATTGCTCCACCTGTTCACTTGTTTGAAATAGCCCAGTATCAACTATATCATTTGTTAGATTTTCTTGCTTATTAAGAGCACGTTGTCGAGACTCTGCCATAGTTTTTGCCGAGGCGTCCTGTTTAGATTTCCAGTATTCGTGGATTTTGTCTTTCCTCTCTTTAGCTATTGTTTTTGCCTTACCTCTTTGTGATTTAACTAAATTTACAAGATCTTCTAGTTTGGCGACAGTTTTACTATCCACAAACTCCCCGGTTTTATTGAAGGTGTACAATACCTGCGCCTCATTCGCGGCAGCGCTAGCATTTGGTCTCTTTTTGGTCAAAAAATCAAAATATCCAAAAACGCGCTCTGGCAGTTTATTATGGAGAGGTGCAGATATTGCAGCCTGTCTCTTGTCTTCATCATCTTTCATAACATAAAATTTATAGTCAATGCATACTCGTTTAAACAATTGTAATAAAGAGAGCAAAGTGTGTTGCAGCATGGAGAATACAATTTCATCATATGGTCCTGGACTTAACACCGCGTCATAAACTTCGTCCTTTTCAATGTATTCATCATCAAAAAAGTTGATGCGACCATAAGCAAAATCTGCTAATCTATCTGAATCCTGTGTCACTTTTGTCAAAAATTCAACAAGACCTGTATACGTTTGACATAAGTCCAAAATATGGCCATCCTTTTCGGTCACTCGCCACAATGGAGAACTGATGGACTTATTAACAATGCCCAAAACCTTACACCCTGCAACGTACAAAGATTGTTGAGCATCTGCTAATAAGGCCTTCAGTAAACCATTGGTGGTTCCATGTACATCACTTAAAAACTCTCTAATATGGTTAATGAGATAGTAAACCCTACCACCAAACATAAAAACAACATTGAAGCGATTTCCTCGGAAGGGAAGAAAGAAGGTCTTTGTCAACAAGTTGGTGCCATTTTTATAGATTTTCCAGTGGCGATGACATCCACTCTTTTCATCACCACCATGAGACAGCGCTTTACACGCATTCTGTACAAGTCTTATTGACCCACTTGCAGTGTAAACATGTATCCCAGCTTCAGCTGCGGCACCTACTTTCTCCCCTTCAAGAAAATCGCTTTCAAATGACTTAAATGTAGCTGAAACGGCATCTGCCATTGACGTCAGCAAATGCAGGCCACAGAAAAAATTGTACATTTCAGTCAGCTTTGTTTTGGCTTCATCACTGAAATTACTCCAATTATCTGTATACGAAGACAGACATTCCTCTCGGTATGTCTTTAGGGTTTTGTTGAAAAGTGTCTCTGTAGCTGCGCGATCTGACATTGTGTTGCGAATTTGGCAAAGGACCCGATGGCCGACATCATTACCGGCTTTTGCCTTATGACAAATGTCGGTAATATCTGCAAGTGTTTCTTTCAGAGCATCAAGGGTATGCTGGGCGGATTTGGATGCCATCTGTCTTAAACCTAGAAGATAGGCTTCGCCGTCCTGATCAGTGATTGCGTAGGTCATATATATTTCAGCATTCTTTGGTGTCTCATCAGTTTGTATGGTGGTGTCCTTATTTGAAGTTTTCCCAGCAATCGGTGCAACCTGAATCTGCGAAACTAATGTTCGATCTTTGTTCATGTTGCGAACGGTGGTCTCGCTTGGGAGCCTGTCATAAGATATCCCACACATTTTTAAAACTGTGGTTATGACATCACTTATATTTGCAAATGATACTTGCTTTGATATTAAGTTCCATACACATTTATGAATTAGCGGTTTAAATGAAAATTCTCGTCGTCATAGAATTGGATTGTTTTCCTTCTAGCTTCGTGGAGAGCTCCAGTCAGTTGAGTCATCAGATTGTCCACCTTGTCATTCAGGCTGAGCACCTTTTCACGAAGTTGTTCATTTTGGCTCTCCAGATCAGCCACGTACATGTATGAATTATGCCAGTTAGTGTTCTTGTCATGATCTATCTTGGCCACTTTAGCTTCTGACACAAACTCGGATAACAAGTCACGCTTGCTCTTGTTTGACTTTTCTAGTCGGTTTTCTAATTTACAGGTTTCTTTTTCTAATGCACTCACTTGTTCCCGTTCTGAGAAAATTTTGTTCCAGTGGTCTGATTCTCGTCTCTGGGTCAACCCCTGTGTGTGAGGAGATGGTCGCATACGTAACACCTCAACCTGTTTCTTCAAGTGTTCGGTTTCCTTTAAAAGTTTTTCATTTTCCATCCGCAGCTTATCCATTTCAGCTTTATGAACGCTAACATCAAATATTGAGAGCGGGGAAACGGTTCCACTTTTTGTTGAGTCCTTGGCTTTAGGTGGTTGTGTAGTTGGTAGGCGGTAATCGGTTTCTTTCCATCGGTTCATGTCGTCTTCATAGCCAGCTTTGGATTTGTTTTTGTTCATTTTTGTGAACGTCTGCTTTACCTTGATCCAGCTATCCCGGATCTGACGTTGAGCTTTCTTATCATCAAATGACCACGATGGAATAAGCACCTGTACTGTTTCCTTTTGGACAACTTAGATGAATGAAATAGACCGGAGACAAACTGTGTACTTTTGCAGAGGGTTCAACATGTATACTTTGTATATCTGGCCAAAAACATGAAAACGATAAAATTACAGCTTATATTCAAATTATTTCCCTCAATAAAATACGCAAACAGAAATAACATGGAACGATCTTGTAACCTTTTGTAAAATGTCATGCACTAAACTTGAACACATGTATGAAAAAGTAATGAATATTAATTTGTTGCAAATACAAATAATGTCAAAGGGGCGGTGCAGTGCAGGATCGCCGGTCTGGTTGGCTCGAACTGCGCGATTTTCGTCTATTCCTAAGTACAGTTTCCACTTGCAAGTGTAACCAGTTTTAGATTCATTCAGGGAAAATGCTTTCATGCCCCATTTCACAGGTTTTTTGGGCATGAACTGAACAAAACTAAGTCGTCCCTTGAACTTCAGCATGCTCTCATCAGAAGACAGATGTTGATGGGGTTTGTAGACATAGGAATTTGAGAAGTATCAAAACGAAGAAGGGTTGAAGTTTTCTTAGTTTTGACCTTGTTCTATCATCGGGCTGGGAGGCATCGTTGTCAGAGAGGTGAAAGTATCACAGAATGGTGGAGAACCGATTACGGGACAAAATTGACGAGTAGAAATTGTTCCAAAATATCTTAAGAGATGACCAGTGCAATCGATACTGGGGCATTCGGCTTATACCCATGGCAAGGATGATGGCAATGAAGGCTTGCATCTCGGGAATATCAACAGGGTTTCTTTCCCATTCTGCCAACTGCTCAGGCTTGTTTTGGAGACTTTGGGAAGCTTAACGGTTGGTTTCATTTGTCAAAAGTTCCCAGATGGCTGCATGAAAAAACAGCAGAAATACCTGCACCGCAGAGAGGCCGCTGAAATCGTCGGTGGGACCAGGATTGCCGGTGAATTGTTGTGGTCTTGGAACATGGTCGGACTTCTTCTCCCATTCAACTCTGAAGTCTGGTTTTCTTTCCTTTTTCTTACGACGACCCACTGCCCCACCAGGGCCATCGCGAGCACGACCATGGCCACTTCCACCACGAACACGCACTCCAAGCATTCCCCGAGAAGCGGTCCCTAGCCCAGGCGGCCCACGACTGCTAGCGCCGGTTAGAGTGCCAGACCAGGCTGATTATCGTCATCAGAATGGCCAGAATCTGATAAAACTTCGCTCGATTCTTGCTCAGATTCTTCCTCATAAGAATCTGAATCATTCTCCGAATCACTGTCGGCACATATTTCCTCCAGAATACGGGCATTTTTGTCATCCATGTCTGTATTAGGCGCAGGAAATCTGGAGCAATTCTTCGCGAAAGTTGGTGACATGGTCAAAGTTCAATTATTGAAAAGCTTATGAAAGGGACTTTCCAACTGTCTAAAAACCAACAACAGAGGGCGGTAAACGAAAGTACTGGTCTCAATCGAAAGCACCCCTTGTGCTCGTCGACAAAAGTCGCCCATGGGAACGAAGGGGAGTCACCGCGCTGTCAACAAAAGTCGCCAATGGGATTGAAAGGGTTAACAGGCAGGCTCTGGCAGTGGCTTTTGCAAATGCTTGGGCACTTTGGAAAGGGGGCTCGCTCCAGGTCAAGTTGAGGCAGACTCTCTTCCTTTTTTTCAACAGCCAGTACTTGGCGACCCGTCTCCTTGTGGCCTGTCTTTTCTTTACCAAGATGATTTCTTGCAGGTTTTTGAAATGGTTGACAATGGCCTCCTGGTGCTTGCATGCAACGCCAGTGCATCCTTCGTGGCACGTGCAAAACACCTTGTCAATTTCAAGGAGCGATGATTCGCAACTGCTAGAAGTTTCCTTTGATAGAAGCTCTCCATGCGAGACAACACAAAGTCGACCAGCTGGGGGACATTGAATGTTTTTGCTCTCTGCAGAATTGAATCCTTCAAGATCCGCTTGCTGCCTCAGCGTAGTTGTTTGTGTTGTTGCCTCTGATCGTTAGATTCACCTGAAAGCCAGAGCCCAGACCTCACGTCTTTCAAACAAGCTGGTCAAGTATTCTGTGTAGTTGAAATGAGTGAGGCTATAAGCCGTGCACTCTGTGTGGCAATTGAAAACCGTATTTAGCTCATCTTCGCTAGATACCCATCCAAATAACCAGTCTTCAATTTGGCTTTCCTGCCTAAAGCAAATGGGAATCCACTCCTTCTTAGCATCGGCACATTTGTTGTCGCTCTGCATGCTACCGGTACATGTATGCTAGCTGCAGCCAGCCTATACGGTAGCTAGACTAGGCTATATAGTGGCTCTAGGGCTCACCAGCAAGCAATTTTTGCTTTACTTTTGCCGCGAAATCATTGTGACTTCAAAAAGACATAGAATTTGTATCTTTTTTCAATACTGATTTAATATGGGATGACTGGTAAAGCAGTTGTCCCATACTATTACCTTTTACCTATGAGAAAACTATGGTTTTCATGATGCAAAGAGCTGCGTCAAACTGCACCTTCCTGATTACATGTACACAGCGAAGGCTTATGACAAGCAATTATTGCTTTCTGGGGCAAAATATGTATTCCCCCCCAGGGCTCTGGGTCAGCAAAGGCTCTGGTGAAAGCCTTTTCAACTGCACTGATGTTTGGGGCATAAACCATCAGCTGGCATGGGCAAACCAGGTCTGGCAATGATTCTTCTGGATGCCATGATTTGCAGCCCAAAGCCATCTTTACGCAGCTTGCAGAACATGGAAGGTGCATAGTGGAAGGGTGGCATCAAGAAAGGCTGTGTGAAGTGACTTTCTCTCGAAGAGACAGTCATCATCATACAGCTTACTATCTTTTGCAAAGTGGTTTCCAGATAGAGGCACACGCACCTACCCCGTCAAGATATAGCTTCTGTACTTCATTTCGACTTCCAGGGGAGAAGAGCGAGCATAACTCTAGTCCACACCCTCATGGATGAGGAACATGGAAGGTCCAGTGGGTACGACCCACCCCTCTGTTAAAGCATACGTGCTTCATTCCTTTATTTGAAAAAGAAATTCCAAGGGAAAACAATCAAAATTCAGTCTTCACTGTGGAGAGAGTTGCCATATTAGCAAAACGGTACAGATACATGGTACCTTTTCTTAAATTTCAACTGAAAATGTTAAGTGCCCCCCATTGTTGACAACCTCTTAGACATCTAACCTAGAAATTATGTTGCCCTTCATGTAGAAGATGCACTCTTTTGAAGCAGGCCACTTCCAGTAGTTCTTGGCATGTTCCATCACTGAGACCTGAAACTCCACATCTCCTACAGCAACTACTTCCTACTCATCCTTGCTCTCATCCTGAGGTGAGTTGGCAAATGATACCTGTACATCGTTAGCATCAGCATCCTCATCAGCATCTCTGCTCATGCAATGAAATCAATCTAAACTTCCTTGCAAATGTCACCTATACCAATCCTGCTTCCATGGGTTTGTCTTGTCGATTTCAGGGATTGATGATTTGCAACCGCTGGAATTTTCCTTTGATAGAAGCTCTCCATGCGAGACAACACAAAGTCGACCAGCTGGGAAACATTGAATGCTTTTGTTCTCTGCAGAATTGAATCCTTCAGGATCCGCATTTCTGCCTCAGCATAGTTGTTTTTCTGTTGTTGCCTCTGATCATTAGATGCACTAAGGCCAGAGCCCGGTCCTCACATCTTTCAAACAAGCTGGTCAAGTATTCTGTGTAGTTGGAATACCTGACTGGGTAGAAAAAATATGAACAAAAGCTTTCTTAATCTGAGTCTACATAAAGACCTAGAATTTGTATCTTTTTTCAACACTGATTTTAATAGTATGGGATGACTTCCCACATTATTACCTATAACCTATGAGCAAACCGCGGTTTTCACCATACAAAGAGCTGCGTCAAACTGCACCTTGCTGATCACATGTACACAGCGAAACTTTTTGACAAGCATTTGTTGCTTTCTGGGGAAAAAAATGTATACCCAAAAAATTAGCTTGGCATGGGCAAACCGGCTCTGGCAATGATCCTTCTCGATGCAATGACTAGCTGCCCAGAGCCATCTCTACACAGCTTGCAGAACATGGAAGGTGCAAAGTGGAAGGATGGCATCAGGATAGGCTGTGTGAAGTGACTTTCTCTCGGAGAGACAATCATCATGATAGAGGCACACAAACATTTCAAGACTTTTTGGTCATTTTAAAACAAAGCCTACATGCACGACAAACTTTACAGGATTTTCAGGATAAATTCAAGATGTCTGCTATGTTACCTTTATAGCACAAATGCAGAAAAGCTGAACAGCAGACAGAGTACAAAAAAGCTGGACAGCGAAGTGCAGCACAGGTTTGAAGCTGGTGCAGAGGGGAGAAAGCTGGCGCATGTAATGTACATTGTGTACAATGAACATGTATGAACAATGTGCTTATATACCGTACAGTTTATGGCACAAATAGGCCTAATTGGTCATAATAAGACACATCCAGAATGTTTGAGGTAACACCATGTAAATTCTCTCATGGGTTACACTGTGTGGTTCTGAGAAAAGAGATGGTTTAACTCAACGTTTCAAACAGTTGCTGTTCATCATCAGGAGACACCTGATGGTCTACTGATGATGAACAGGGCAACTGTTGGAAAGTTGAGTTAAGAAGACAATTTTTCTGAGAATCATGAAGTAACGCAAAAGAGATGATTAACAAATGTCTTGCACATTGTTTTTACCACTTAACAAATTTGAAAGTGTCATTTAACCCAGTCTCACCTGCTGACGGCTCTAGCAACAGCTTGAGGAAAGGGCTGTATCATGATTATCAGGACAATCATCAAAACACTTAATTGATGCCTCTTTTGTTGATATCTTCCTGTGAAGGTTGCACACTTAAAACACCTCCAATCATGTAATAAATAAAACGTGAGGTGAAATACAATTTCATAATCTCCCTCTGTGTATCATGAACATGTGTATCAATGGACGTTCATCATCTACCGGTACCGCTGGTGTTCCAATAAAGGTACATTTTTGTGATTTTGTGGCATCATACTTGTTATCATTTTGCAAGTGTCCTACCAAATAGCATGCCAGCAAATACGTAGATGACAGTAGATGTTGGCTTTCAGCTGGAAGCTACATGTAGTTAGAGAACTCAACAACCAGGTGTGATATCAGGGTTCATATCACCTGGTCCTAACAGTCCTGATTCCAAAAAAGGATGTTTTGTGACAAAGTCTAAAGCTATGCCTTGAATTTTGAGCAGTATATTAAAAACAGCTCACAATTCTACCCTGAGAATTGAAATTAAACTCGGACAATTTAAAAGAAGCACATGGGTTTGAAAGGATAGCAGTGCCACAAGAAGTTGATGTGCCATAGCTGGCTAAAATTTCCCCTCTCCACTCCGTTTTCCAAAGTTGGAGATCTGCGGGGCAAGAAATATGACACTCCTGTATGAAACAAACATCATAATTAAGACAAAAGTTAAAAAGTCGTTGGCATTTGTTAAAATCATGCATACCATTAACATTTAAGGTTAAAATGGAGATCATTGTGTTAAAAAAATCAAAACCTCGAGTAATGCCATTAGAAATATAAAAAGTTATATAAAGGGATTCCTTGAAGAGAAACTGCCAGTTTCCGCAGTGCTTTATCCGGGTGTTTCTGAGCAATATGCCGGCTCCACCTGCTTGGAATACAAGCTGTGTACATACACCAAGGGCACTTAACCTGAGAAAGGCAGTGTCCTTATGGATGCTAGAGGTGTGTCTATTACTAGAAATAACCATGTTTGAGATTTAAATGGGCACAAGGAAACTCTACATCTTGGTGGCTCACTGATTTCCGGAAGTTTCAGCGAGCCAAGGTGTTTTTGAACTTTTTCTAATTTTGCAGGGTTCACACCTGACGCAACGTCATCTTCTGTCGAGTCTTGCCCCTGATCAGATCAGAGGATGAGGAAGAGGAGGAGGAAGAAAAACCAGAATGAGAGGAAGATGAACCATCAGATTTATGTACCTGTTCCGCTGGTGGGGAAGTGTCCAAAGAGGACAAACTGTCCAGGTCTGAGCCGAACAAGTCAGCGGTTGATGGTGTGGACCTTTCACTAGATG